TCTAAACCAAGTCTATAACCCTAACCCTAGCCATCTAAACCAAGTCTATAACCCTAACCCTAGCCATCTAAACCAAGTCTATAACCCTAACCCTATCCATCTAAACCAAGTCTATAACCCTAACCCTAGCCATCTAAACCAAGTCTATAACCCTAACCCTATAATCCATCTCTAAACCAAGCCTATAACCCTAACCCTATCCATCTAAAGGCCTATAGCCTAACCCTAGCCATCTAACCTAGCCTATAACCCTAAACCAAGCCATCTATAAGTCTATAACCCTAACCCAGCCATCTAAACCAAGTCTATAACCCTAACCCCAGCCATCTAAACCAAGTCTATAACCCTAACCCTAGCCATCTAAACCAAGTCTATAACCCTAACCCTATCCATCTAAACCAAGCCTATAACCCTAACCCTAGCCATCTAAACCAAGTCTATAACCCTAACACTAGCCATGTGACCCAGGCGTATAATGTTGGGTGGAATGGTCATCGAAACGAAACCTTAAAAAGCAAACAGATGTTGGTGAATATATGAGCCTTGCCATAATTGATAGCACTAACAAACTTAACAGAAAATCGCCATATCTGGCTTGCAAATAACGTTCCCTTATGTCGTTATCCGGAACGGTTTAGTGCAATCAATTATAGTATGACTCACATATTTACCAGCCTCCGTCTAACAACCCACCCCTCCCCCTCAACATCAAATGGACCTCCCATACTGGGTACCAGATTCATTGTCAAAATGGCGGACAACAGTTCGTCTTGGGTTGCCCAATGGGTACGCGAGTCGGAAAGTGCTCTATTGTGTGAGTAAAGCATTCACTCCTCTCGAGCATTATATAAGTGTTATGTGATAGTTATGTGAAGATTATGTGAGAGTTATATGATATATGTATGATTTATACGAGAGGGTTGCATGAGAGTTATATGAGGGTTTTACAAGAATTATATGGCGGCGAAGACATCGGGAATGAGTTCCACAAGTTGTACAAGATCTATTCAGTCCAACTGTTCTAATTGTGATTGTTCCATCCTGTTTGCATGGCGTTTCCTAACTGCGTATTATCTGAACTTCAGCATTTCCACACTAGGCTGTAGGAGGGTCATTACAGGCAATTGTTTCTCTTTACATGTTATTATCATGTTGTTCGAGAGGTTTATTCATAGTATGCTGTCATCGCTCTGATTTGTTGCCAACTGGACCCGGTTGAGAGTCACCATTGAAGGTAGGTTTCACCACGGTCTGATTTGAAGTGACAGATGTTCAATACGTCTTACTCTTGGTGCCAGTGCCCTCTCTATATCCAGAAGGTAGCCAAAACATAGTGGTGCTCTTAGCTTAGTTTTAGCGAGGGGATTATGCCGTACTTGTGTGGTGCCTTGGCTCAAAGTTCTCCCCATTGTCCAAAGGGTCATGTGCTTCACCATGCCACAGATACACTATAGCCGAGCACGACGCTAGTGTCCATTCATTCATTCAGTGTCAATAGTGTAAAGTCCATAAATTATGTCATATAATGAAACATTTCTAGTCAAAACCCTGTTAATAGAGGTATCCTTATATCCGTATGATTTCTGTTGCGAATGTCTCCAGAAACTGTTGAAAAAATAGTTAAAATATACAGATGTATACACCCGTGGGGTAGTCTAAAGGTTAAAGCGTCCGCTCGTCACACCGAAGACCCGGGTTCGATTTCCCACATGGATATTGATACAATGTGTGAAGCCCAATTTTGGTGTCCCCCGCCGTGATTTTGCTGGAATATTGCTAAAATAATATGTGAAATTATTAATTCGAGCTATTTCATTGGAAACGGTCTCCTTCCAATGAACTGTATATAAATCTAGTTTCATATCTCGGCTCAGAAGGAGTTCATTCATGAACATATTGCATAGGCGGATCCAGAGGGGGTGTGCACGGGTGCGCACCCCCCTTTTGTCCTGAAAGTTTATTAAATGACCATTGAAACTCTCGTGAAAATGAAGTGTACACCCCAACTTTCTCAAGAGTGTGCACCCTTGCTTTCTCAAAGGCTGTATCCGCCCCTGTATTGACCCTCATAACATAATGAGAACCCCCCTGCTTCACACGAGAAAGCAGTCGGTGGTCAGTTAATGGTGGCCAGTTATGTCAACTGTCAGGCCATGTTAGCGCTCATGGACACATCAGTCGCAGCCTGAAGTTGTTAGTGTACAAACTATTGTTCGTAGACACGAAAACACAAGCGTCCACAGCTTGTTAGTTTCATGTGGTATTGTACATCACAAACCATTCACACGGACTGTGGTTTCTGTGAGAACCTGGTGAATGGCTGTGAACTCATACGGTACAAACACGAAACCAAACCACACAGATAGTTATCTGGTGTATATACCTCAGATACCTTGGTTTCACCCAGCACACAATCTGTGATTCACACAATGGTCAATCACTGTGACAGACGTTGGTTTATTAAACATTGACGTTGCTTCAGGGCGTGAGTGAACCCAGTCTCTCCCAGTCATACCATGAACTGGTAGTTGCATGGCGCTGCGACCGTTGCGGGTACCTTATCCCGATCGCGTGTTATCATCAGGGGTTTTATTCTTACATTGGACAATGGACTGAGCAGGAAGATACGTCTACCAATGTGAGTTGTAAGAGTTAAGGTGTACCTCTGTATCTCCGATTGGGTGCAGGTTATACAATATATGTGAAGCTTATAAACCGTCTCCTTCTTCGTCGCTTACCTCAAAATACCTACACCATGTTTTATGTAAAGTAATTCAGTCTCATAACTTCATGGCTACATTCCATTTTATGTACAATGGAATCTGTTTCGACATATAAACAAGATAGATTGGGCCCTGGAGTAGACTTTATGTATGCAAATGTGGACTCAAAATACTGATATGGTTAACCAAGATGGCGGTCATGTCGAAGATGGTACCATTTTTTCATTTTCAATCAGGAATTATCCTTGTTGAGAGATAGCTTTCGAAGATACAGTAACGTATTTCGAGGCAGGTGATAACGAACTATGAGGGTACGAGTTGCCGCAGGAGCCTCCAGACGAGTGACGAGTGTTATGTACTCTAGTCAGATGTCACTCCATATTATACCAGGGCCCGGTGGTGTCGTGTTTTGAGTTATGAAACAGTCATGTAGTTAATACATAAATACGTTTATATATATTGAATCTGATCAGTTTCGGGTGGCCGCGAGCGAACGAGTCACAAGCTGTCACCTGTCGCATTGTGACGCTGCGGTAGACCTGGGATGTTATTTAAACAGGACCCATGCCTTAGTAATATTTCATTATATATATTGTCGGGTATTATACGGCAGGTGTTGCTCAGAATTGTTTGCGAGCTGCTCTATATACTTTACACATACACGATGACCTCACACAATACAAAGGTGTTATCCTTGAATACCTGTGGACAGGCACCAGGCAACTGTTCTGTCGCTGTTCAGGTACGTTTAGTTGGTCAGGTCACAAAGATTTATATATTTTTGATAGAAGTGTTGACTTAGAAACTTTGTTGTATTATACTAAGTTTGGGTGGAGAAAAGATCGCAACAATACGCACAGTTTTGGTTGTATTCTTCCCGGGGAACAGAGGATGTGTATATAATAATAATAATAATAATAATAATAATGATAAATATGCGGACCTCGCCTTTGAAATGTCTCGCTTGCATCCCAAGTACACTGTCGTCAGGCTCCCCATTGTTCTCGGTGCCCTTGGTTTGGTACCTCCTGATCTCTTGGCGCAGATCAAGAGAGTGCCTGGGTTCTCCACCGGGAGTACAGCCCTTCTGACACTCTGGGTAATGCAGAAGGCTGCATTGTTGGGGAGCCTTCATATTCTCCGGAAAGTTCTTGGTGGGTTCGACTAGGCAGCGTTTCCTGGGAGAAGTCCCATTCGCTGTCTGGGCTGCGTGTAGAGGGGGCAAGGGCCCTGAGCTGATGATGAGCCTTACTAGCCTGACTGTGCCAGGATCACCCGAACCCTCTCTGCTGCATATTATCTTTAATCTGTAAAACATAATAATAATAATAATAATAATAATAACAATAATCATCATCATCATCATCATCATCATCATCATCATCATCAATCATCATCATCGGCGTCATCATCATTGTTGGTGGTGTTCATAGCGCTATTATTATTATTTTTTGGACAACGACAACGAAAATATGAATGTTTGAAAAAACATTGTAGATTATTGTATTTTATAGTGGTTAAAAGTCCACAGGGGAACGACGAGTGACGGGAGGTTATATTCTCCATAAAACTAATGACAAACAATCAACTTCATATTTAACCAATGAACGGTCCCTTGATGAGTAATGCACCACTTAAGTACACACACCTCACACATGAATAACACATGATCACACATTTCCCCTGCTTGTATTGGAATCATTAACTGTCATTATCGTGAACAATATACTGGATACCCATGCTTATTCAACACCGACACATACAGTCATTGCTCGCATTGATTGTACACATAGTTAACATTCCTCTGTATTAATTATTTACACTGCCTATTAACCGTTCGTATATGCATATTTTATTCATATTCACCGGTCATATTGTCACAGTGACTCTTTAGACTAGTTACGCGACTTTCCCACAGATTCTAAATTTCCCATATCCGTGTCATCTCAATGACATCAGGCAAGTGTATTCGTTGTTCACACAAACCCATGTAGTATCCTTTCAGCTAGGATTTTAAGGTAAACATAACATTTTTTAAAATGAACAAAGAAGTATTGACTCATACCTCTCGACCGCAATTTTCCTGATGCACTTTTACAATTTGAAAATAAACGTTTATGTCTCTGTGTATTTAATATAAGGACACCATGTTCATGTTCGCTATCTATTCAAGTCACCCTACCCTCAATGGTATACATGTTTTCCCGTCTACTTATGGGAATAAGTAATGCATGACTTAACGCATTGGAGCGGCTATTGTTTTCTACGTCACACCTCACTAACATTACACGGACATGTATATCAACTCGCCACCAATAGCCCTCCACGTTGGCAGAGGCTGTATGGCGCTTAGTGTAATCCTGACAAACGCCACACAGCCTCTGAATTGCAGTTGCCGCAAATTAGGCCATGCTGTGATCGAGAGTGTATGTCTCATTGTTGGTTATGCTTTGAGTGGAGTAGATGTCGTTGTGTGGCCTTGTTGTGAGGGAGGTGGACGTTGTCTGTGGATGACGTCGACAGGTTGAAGCTATTGGAGCGTTGTTGCTCTCACCTGTAAGGTTCATGATATTGTAGTGGGTGGCTGTTCAAAGGTGGACGTTTTTGTGTCTATTGCTGTACTACAGTATAGAACTGTGAAGCCGTGTGATAAGACGACTGTATCCGCCATGACTTAATGGCTGGGACACCACGCCCATATAGGGGGTATTGAAGCACGAGGATTTAAAAGACTGGTCTGTCAAGGTTGTGAATATAGCCCTTATCAAGAGGTGAGTGAAACTGTATGATTCGGGTATACTTTTAAATACCTTGGTGGTATAAATGGGAAGTGATCTAGCTGTACGTCAGCCGGCATGTTTACAAATACCAAATAGGAGACATCGTGTAATTGTCTCTCATCGAGAACACCATACTGAGTGTCGACATCTCTTTTCAAGAGCACCATGCACATGTTAATTTCGCCGATAGAGAGCACTATACTATTTGCAATCAGCACTGTTTTCAGTGTTGATATCGTCAATGAGGGGCAATGCTGATATCGCCCGAAGTCCCATGCACTTTTTATTCAAAACACTTTACTGAATAGATTATGTAACCTTAGTATTTCTTTAAACAAAAGAACTCGGTGCCTTATGTAAGGTTTCTCTGATCACCAGCCTCATGCTTATGTCCGACATGTTAACGTCCAGCAGCGCATACCCGGTGTTGTAATTAGTCGGAATGAGACACTCTTCTGTACATGGCGATATATGCTCTTACACACTAGATCTGGATAACTCTTTGGGCAATATTTGAAGGTACATGATGCTATTCACCAGACATTGTCAATATCAGGCGGTATATACTGGTACTCACTAGACATTGTCAATATCAGGCGGTATATGCTGATACTCACTAGACACTGTCAACATCAGGCGGTATATACTGATACTCATTAGACACTGTCAATATCAGGCGGTATATACTGATACTCACTGTCAATATCAGGCGGTATATATTGATACTCATTAGACACTGCCAACATCTGACGGTATATACTGATACTCATTAGACACTGTCAATATCAGGCGGTATATACTGATATTCACTAGACACTGTCAACATCAGGCGGTATATACTGATACTCACATGACACTGTCAATATCAGGCGGTATATACTGATACTCATTAGACACTGTCAACATCTGGCGGTATATACTGATACTCAGTAGACACTGTCAATATCAGGCGGTATATGCTGATACTCACTAGACACTGTCAACATCTGGCGGTATATACTGATACTCACATGACACTGTCAATATCAGGCGGTATATACTGATACTCATTAGACACTGTCAATATCAGGCGGTATATACTGATACTCAGAAGACACTGCCGATATCTGGCGGTATATACTGATACTCACCAGACACTGTCAATATTTGGCGGTATATACTGATACTCACTTGACACTGTAAATATCAGGCGGTATATACTGATACTCATTAGACACTGTCAATATCAGGCGGTAAATAGTGATACTCATTAGACACTGCCAACATCTGGCGGTATATACTGATACTCACTAGACACTGTCAATATCAGGCGGTATATACTGATACTCACTAGACACTCAACATCTGGCGGTATATACTGATACTCACATGACACTGTCAATATCAGGCGGTATATACTGATACTCATTAGACACTGTCAATATCAGGCGGTATATACTGATACTCATTAGACACTGTCAATATCAGGCGGTATATAGTGATACTCAGTAGACACTGTCAATATCAGGCGGTTTATGTTGATACTCAGTAGACACTGTCAATATCTGGCGGTATATACTGATACTCATTAGACACTGTCAATATCTGGCGGTATATACTGATATTCACTAGACGCCCAAGGTGATTCAGCTATTTCCATGTTCACATAAATGTGACTCCATGTGTGTGATGCGCGCTTACATGATTCAATTATCTTATCATATATAGTGCCACATAGTCTTCAATTAATACTGTTATTTATTAGATCTAGAACATTACACGTTTTCTATTGATTTCCATATCCCATGCCGTATCATGTTATCGACTTGTAGGATTCTGCTTATTACATCCACTTAAATATAGGGTTCTACAGTGACAGGCATATATCTTTGTGAGTGACATATTACCCAGTTCTGTCCTGTTTACGGAGGACTTGCAGGAAGCAAGTTCTTCGGTATTGTCTGTACTGACAGATGGGGTATTGTATTAATACGTTTAATATGTATCTTTTATCAGATTTAATCAAGATTACAGATGTCGTATTTGTATTACAATGTATTATTAGCTGGGTACCGATAATGTGAAATAATGCATGTTAATGCAAATGATCATGAATATTATCTCATTGTTTCTTAGTAAATCCTTGAGATCCCGGGTTGGAATTGGATCTGAATTGGAATTAAAAATTGGTCATATTTTATCCATATTTTCACGGTCAGGTATGATACCTCTGTCCGTGGTAAATATCCTTCGTGATGTGAGTGCTTCTCCAGTACTAAACCGGTCGGTGGTTTGGCCTAGTGGTAAAAACGTTCGCTCCTCACGCCGAAGATCCGGGTTCGATTCGCCACATGGGTACAATGTGTGAAACCCATTTCTGGTGTCCCCCGCCGTGATATTGCTGGAATATTGCTAAAAGCGACGTAAAACTAAACTAACTCACTATTGCTAAAAGCGTGATGGCGTAAACGATCGCTAAACCAAACTCACGCACTACACTGTGTGAACAGCTCTGGGGTGTTAGCTAAACTGGCTGAAATGCCGTGAAAAAGTTCATAGTAAAAAATATATAGGTGAAAACGATCTTCATTTTTAAACCGAGACTCACATTTTCTAGACGTACTTTCTTGATATGTGAACAGCTCCAGCTGGGGTGTGTGTACACCTTCATAAAGCGCTCACGTAACAAACAGCAGTATTCATGTCTAAAATATCCCGTGAATGTCTCACTTAAACTGGAAATCATCTGAGGTAGTTTATGCTACCCACCCGTTCACACAGGCAAGAAGTGCAGAAGTAATTTAATAAGACGGCATGTAGTTCTCTGATACAGTGACATCGGTAGGAAGGCTGGAAACATAACAACAAAATCGTAAATGGGTCTTTTGAGAATGTTGTATGGGAAAATCTACCCCGGGTAGATCTTTTGTATCTCTGCAGGCATCTGATGCAGCACTTTCCGTGTATGCTTGACAATCTCAGCTGGACTCCGTGTAATTATAAACACATAAGCCCTGCCCAACTGTGTGTGACTGTCAGGCTCCCTGTGGCTCCTTGTGGCTCCCTCCTGTAGCTTCACATTAGATGAGTCACTAACGATTACAGGGGAATGCAATTGTTTGCAATCTACATGCTGACATAGGCGTCTCATAATCCTCATACCGTATATACCCTACGCAATGACTGACATCGGCGTCTCATAATCCTCATACCGTATATACCCTACGTAATGACTGACATAGGCGTCTCATTATCCTCATACCGTATATACCCTACGTAATGACTGACATAGGCGTCTCATAATCCTCATACCGTATATACCCTAATAATGACTGACATAGGCGTCTCATTATCCTCATACCGTATATACCTTTCGTAATGACTGACATAGGCGTCTCATAATCCTCATACCGTATATACCCTAATAATGACTGACATAGGCGTCTCATTATCCTCATACCGTATATACCCTACGCAATGACTGACATAGGCGTCTCATAATCCTCATACCGTATATACCCTAATAATGACTGACATAGGCGTCTCATTATCCTCATACCGTATATACCTTTCGTAATGACTGAGGCGTCTCATAATCCTCATACCGTTTATCTCATAATGACTGACATCGGCGTCTCATAATCCTCATACCGAATATACCCTAATAATGACTGACATAGGCGTCTCATTATCCTCATACCGTATATACCCTAATAATGACTGACATAGGCGTCTCATTATCCTCATACCGTATATACCTTCGTAATGACTGACATCGGCGTCTCATAATCCTCATACCGTATATACCCTAATAATGACTGACATAGGCGTCTCATTATCCTCATACCGTATATACCCTAATAATGACTGACATAGGCGCGTCCTCATACCGTATATATTTAATGTGACTGACATCGGCGTCTCATTATCCTCATACCGTATATACCTTTCGTAATGACTGACATAGGCGTCTCATTATCCTCATACCGTATATACCTTTCGTAATGACTGACATAGGCGTCTCATTATCCTCATACCGTATATACCTTTCGTAATGACTGACATCGGCGTCTCATAATCCTCATACCGTATATACCCTAATAATGACTGACATAGGCGTCTCATTATCTCCTCATACCGTATATACCAATGACTGACATTTCATTAATGACTGACATAATGGCGTCTCATAATCCTCATACCGTATATACCCTAACAATGACTGACATAGGCGTCTCATTATCCTCATACCGTATATACCGTAGTAATGACTGACATAGGCGTCTCATAATCCTCATACCGTATATGTCCTACGCAATGACTGACATTGGCGTCTCATTATCCTCATACCGAATATACCGTAATAATGACTGACATAGGCGTCTCATAATCCTCATACCGAATATACCGTAATAATGACTGACATAGGCGTCCATTATCTTGACACCATGATGAGTGCAATAAGGGAGGACCCAGTTGGCGAGCGCTACGATGGAGGACACTGTAGTAGAGTGCCATAAGGGAGGACCCAGTTGGCGAGCGCTACGATGGAGGACACTGTAGTGGAGTGCCATAAGGGAGGACCCAGTTGGCGAGCGCTACGATGGAGGACGCTGACAGTGCCATGACCCAGTTTGCGAACGCTACGATGCAATAGAGTGCAAAGGGAGGACCCAGTTGGCGAGCGCTACGATGGAGGACACTGTAGTAGAGTGCAATAAGGGAGGACCCAGTTGGCGAGCGCTACGATGGAGGACACTGTAGTGGAGTGCCATAAGGGAGGACCCAGTTGGCGAGCGCTACGATGGAGGACGCTGTAGTGGAGTGCCATAAGGGAGGACCCAGTTTGCGAGCGCTACGATGGAGGACACTGTAGTGGAGTGCCATAAGGGAGGACCCAGTTGGGGAGCGCTATGATTGAGGACACTGTAGTGGAGTGCCATAAGGGAGGACACAGCCGCTCTGACGGGAAGTGATTGGCCACGTTTTAAAGTTCCATTTTATAGCGATTC